AGGACCAGAAAAAAAAGAGGGGAATGGAAAAGAGGGGAGAGGGGACAGTAGAAGAGGGATAAGGAGGAGATGAAAAGAAAGAGAGTAAAAATTGAAGGAAAAATGGAACAGAGGAGGAACAGAGTGGGGATGGGGGAAAGCAACCCAAACAACCATACCATTGCCAGACCATCACATCAGGAAACAACACAAAACAAAGGACCATGAAAGCCATGTGGCTTTGCCCAAAAAGAGAATCCAAGGAAGCAACTATCCAAAGGGAAGCAATATACCTCCGGCCGGATTTACTCTCCCTGCCGCCCCAAGGCCAGGTTCCGCGATACACCCCCCCCTCCTCAACACCCCCCCCTTCCCATCAATGGAGAATGGCAACCAGATGGCAGGACGGCGGGGTTAGTTTAGTTTCAATTTTTTTTACTGCTTCTTTATTTTTTCTCCGACGGCCGGAACTTCCCCACAAGGACACCGCTGCCGCCCCTCTGCGCCCTGCCGGCCCTAGGCCGAGCCTCGGTGGCCTTGTGGGGAATCCGGGCCTGCCTCCGGCGTTTCGGAATCAGAGGGGGCCAGCAAACTTGTATACTGGTCAGGGAAATGAAAATGCGCTCTGGTATTTCGTTCCAGGTATTTCTGAATTTCTTCTCTCTGTAGTGGATAGCCGTCAGTTCTTCCATATGCCAGAGTTCAACATTCCGACCCAACCACATAGATAGGGAGGGGAGGTGTGTTTCCAAAGTAGTGGTATACACGAGCGGGCTACACTTTACATGTGATTGGTCAAGGAGTTTTTATATCTTTTCAAGGGTACCTTATTAATATTGCATAAATATCCCAAGGGATCTTGACCCAGATCAATCCCAGTGAGTTGACAAATTAACTGTTGAACACCTTCCCAAAAGGGATGCAAAAGTGGGCAGCTCCAAAAGATAGGAAGAAATGTACCCAGTTTATTTCTGAATTCATTGTACTGTGCATTTTGTACATTTGTCAATTCTTGGGGCAGATGCTTGTATATAGCATCAGTTTGACATCAGTTTAAGACACTTCTGAGGTCATTCAGAACTCAATAATAGGTGCATTAAACCTGCAGATGACCTCCTTCTGATCTTCTTTAAGTGGGATTTGCATTGCTGTAGACTTGGAATGCAAAATCCCTTTGAAGGGAACAAAAGCCAAGCAGATACAGACCCTCAAAATTTGTGCAGTACAGAAATTTGACATCCATTAACAACGTTAGACTGCTGCATAATAACAGGATCTTTGGCATCTAACAAACTAGAATTCCCAGTTAAACAGTTCTCAGGGCCATGCTATGAAAAGCCTCTTACTAAAGAGATTACATACCACGTTATGTTTCTTCTAGCTGCAGGTTAGTTTTTATGACACAGTAAAAGAGGTCATATTTCATTATCTGTACGCACCCAGATTAGCATAAATGCTGCACATTTTCAATTAATGTATCTAACATTCCTATGATAATTACTGAGTAAATAGCAACCATGCTGTTAAACTTACATATAAACTTACATACTAACAAACATATGTGCACATAAACAGAAAGTGTTGGTTATCGGTTTAGATGAAGCACTAAGATATTGAGCAATGCTAAATTAATAGGGTTATTCACGAAAGAGTGAAGAGTTTGGAGAAGGCAGGAGAAGTGACCAATCTAGGCCAACATAGCTGAACTGGAAAGGGAGCTGAATTGGAGAATGTTTCCATCCATATCAGCTATGTTGTCCTAGATTGTTCACTTCTCCTGCCTTCTCCAAACTCTTCACCATTTTGTGAATAACCCTGTAAGCTTTACTTGCTTAGAAGAACATTACACATACTGTATGTATACAGCATTGTGAAGAAAACAGGGGAAAAAAGCAGCTTCATGTGTATCATAGATAAGCATGCACGTAGACACTAACATTGCACTACACTGCCATCAACAGCTCAACAGACAAATTACAAAAGTATATCAGTATAAGCTGCTGTATTTCCAACACCCTTTCTCAACTGCATATGCATTACTATATGACATTCAGCTTCTCTTGAAGGAAACTGTAATGATCCTTTGGCAGTGGCCTGGTGAGTGCGTCCGCAGTCATTTCTTCTGATGAGTAATATTGAATGTCGTTAATGGCTTGCTCTTGAGTGTCCCTAGACAGATGATACTTCATGTTGATGTGCTTGGTTCTAGGGTTGACACTTTCTGATTGTGTCAGCTTTATACATCCCTGGTTATCTTCAAAGATTGGGATGGGGCCTGACATGTCTATGCCCATGTCCATTAAAAGCTGGTGAATCCATATTGCTTCTTGACAAGTGTGTGCTGCTGCCATGTATTCAGCTTCAGTGGAGGAAAGTGCAACAGTTGTTTGCTTTCCGCTAGACTAGCTGATGGGTCCTTCCCCGTATTGGAAGATGTAACCACTTGTGGATTTGCAGTCTTTGCAGTTCCAGTCACAAACAGGGTGGTGCGACTTTTCTAGCGAGTATGCCCACTGATGTCTGGTCTTGTCACAGTGGCAATGTATAGTAGCTTTCTGATTGCTCTGCGGTACGTCATTGTTGGGCAGCTTAAGTCTACATTCACACATGATCGGTTTTCCGCGGGTATTCGTACGAGCAGAAACGCGCTAAACATAAAAAACAATGCATTCTAATGTGCATTGTTCACACTAGGGTGGCATCCGTGCGGTACGAAAGCATGCGTCCCGCAAAAAAGTCTGTGCGCGATGTTACAGGCGGATTGCACATGTTCCAACCACACGGAATCCGAGGAAGTGTTAAGATTTGTGTGTTTTCCACGCAGAAAACGCAAATGCCATGTGTTCTAGCATACTGACTAGAAAAGTCGCAGCAGCCTGTCGGCCTGACTGGAATGCAGTAAAGAGGGTAATACTTACAATAATTAATTCGGATGAAGCTTCCTCTATCAGCAACGTCAAATACAAAACTAGTTGGATATGCGGATGCTGATTGGGCCAGAGACTACACAGACCACAAATCCACAAGTGGTTACATCTTCCAATAGCAGACTTATAATTGCTTTTGCTTGCCTGTTCTTCTTGTTCCATTCCTCAGCAGGTCCATTAGTGGGTCTGTCTGTACTCAGTACTTGCCACATGTCATCTTTGCTTAGCAGCATTTTAAACTAGAACTTGCATAGCTGATAGTTGGTATTGTTGAGCTTTGTGATTGCAAACTTCATATCTGAACTGCTTGCCATCTTTCAGTAGCTTGGATGTGGCTCTTGTTGACTTGCAGTGTTCTGTTTAGTGCCTGGGCCCATAACCTAGTGCCTGGGCCCATGTGTTTAGATGAAGCACTGAGATCTTGAGGAATGCTGAATTAAGTTTTACTTGCTTAGACATTACACGTATGCATACAGCATTGTGAAGAAAACAGAAAGGAAAAAAAAATCTACTTCCTGTGCATCATA